CTGATTTCTCAACAGAATCTTTGCAGGCCAGAAGGGAGTGGCAAGAAATATTCAAAGTGATGAAAAACATGGAACTACAACCAAGATTGCTCTACCCAGCAAAGCTATCATTTAGAATTGAAGGTCAAATAAAGAGCTTCGCAGATAAGAAAAAGCTAAAGGAGTTCCTCACCACCAGACCAGCACTACAGGAAAAGTTGAAGGGTCTTCTTTGGGAAGAAGCTAATGAACAAAAGAATCTGATGAACTGAATGGATCCAGGGACATTGATGCATGCGGCAGACGGTCATGTTTCAGAGGGGGGAGGGAGGGATGGTGGGAGGTGGGAAGAGATTGGCCAGGGAGGTTATATGCATATATGCATGACCCATGGACACAGTCAGTAACTGGGGAGGGGGTCAGTTGCAGGGGAAAATGGTATACCTGTGATGCTTTCAACAATAAAGATAAATTTAAAAAGAAAAAAAGAATAGGAACCTAAAAATAAAAATTAAAAAAATGACTAGGAACCTAAAGAAATCCAATGTGTCTAAAAACTAAGTGAGCAAGAGAGGAGTAGGATGAGTTGTATATTGAAAGGTTGTCAAGGGCCATATCATCTAAGGCAAGGAGGTTGGGTTTTATTTGAAGTACTGTCAGAAACCATCATACTGGATTTAAATATTGTACTTACATATTTTTCAAAAAAATCACTCTTGATACAATGTGGACTGTAGTGGAGGGCGGGTGAGAGCAAGAAAACCAGATAGAATGTGCATTACTCTTATTTGGGAAGGAGATAATTATGACACACTGGGATATCAGTCATTGAGATAGAGATAAACAGGCAGATTTGGGATAGTTTCAGAAGTTGCCAGGACTTGCTGACAAATTCAAGGAGGCTTAGGAGGAATTAAAAACTCTTAGGTTTTGTAAGTTATCGGAGTTAATGAGAATGAGGTAGACTTGCTGAGAGTTTTGCCCACGTTGAATGTGAATCCCTATTCTACATCCAACTGGTGTAGTCATGGGGTTCCAGTCAGGGCTGGAGATTTTGACTTGGGAGTCTTCATCATGTCAAGGTTATGGTATAGTGATATTTTCTATAAGTCAGTGGATGGTTTCAATTAAGTGAACTGGCAATGGTAGGTAGAAAAATGTATGTTTGAATGGAAGAGTGAGTAAACAAAAAATGAAAGCAATAACCAATGGGCACGAGAAGATAAGGAATTTCAGGATCTGGGCAAACCAAAGAAATAAGGAACATGAAGGAACAGAAGAGACAGAGTGAAGAAAGCATAGAGTGTTTCAGGTACCGTGTGTGAAACAGGGCTCTGATTATTAAGATTGCTTTGTGGTCAGTGCATCGTTCCTAGTCTGTGGCTCCCATATGAAGAAACCTGTTACAGGGGGATTTAGTCCAGATGGAGTGAGGAATTAAAGAAATTTGCAGCGGGGGTGG